TTGATAGGTCAAGGAAGACTATTTTTTTGCTTCGATTGGGACAGTTTTTTTACTGTTTTGCTTTCTAGATCGCATTCGTACTTCTTATTTGGCCAGTGTTTTTTTCTGCTTTCAAAAAATTTTTAAGCTAGTTAGAAATCTGCTTTCAATAACAGCTTTCAAAAAGTAAATTTTTCTAAAATTTTACGCCCATCTTTAAAAAAACTGCCACTTGCAACCTACTCTTTTTTTTTCAAGATAATCTAGACGTGAAGCTTGGTCTGATGCATGCAAAACTAATCACATGGGACCCAGAAACTTACATAGTTCAATGAATCATCACTTACGTCTCCAACCGAAAATCTCATTTTTCACTCCAAAATATAGTGAAACTAAAAAATGGCATGATTCATCTACAATCGAACTCCATTTTGCACCGGTAATCATCTTTCTCCTCTTTCGCACATTTCTTCAACAAATCCAGTAGAGACAGAAAAATAACGCAGGTGAACAGTGCGACGCCAATATATTGGGTTTCGGGTGAAGCTGGCGAGCGACGTCATTCATGCATTTGGAGTTCGGTTTGAAAAGGCCTTAGCTATGATTTTGGATTTTTTGGCCTACATTGAGAAGATCTTCTTAAAAATTATAATGATTTCTCAAAATCTGAGTTCTCCCATATATGTTAAATTTATCCAGTCTCTTTGTCATGATTCATCATCTCATGCATGCGGCCGAGTTAACGACTGGATTCATACATCGCTGTTATAAGGTCAAACATTTATGTTTGAGATTTTTTTTTATGTATGAATTGACTTCAATATTTAACATTTGTTTACTTTTATATCACTTTGATTTTGATATTATATTAATACAAAAAATTAGAGAGAGACTCTCCTTCATCTATTTTGCAGTCTTTATTACAAGAATTTTTAGGCAATTGTTGCCCCTAAAATTTTTAAAATACTATGATATTTAGACAATTGCCCCTAGCATAATTAAACAAATTATATAGTGGTGTTATTGTTAGGGAACGATGAACCAAATACAAAGAGAAATAGTAAAAAGAAAATACAAAAATATCCTTATAGCTAAAATTTGTTTAGGGTTGAACCCCATCAGGGAGCACTGTCCCCTTGGACCCCCGACATATATGTGAAGCATACAATGATCAAGTATATGAACAAATAGAGGTCGAGCCAATTACTTATAAGTTTGGCCCCCACAAAAAATTAAGGCTGGTTCCCCCCCTCTTTCCCTCATTTGTTAGAATGATTTTCATCTTAGGGAGGCTATATTGCTGTTATTTAATATAATAACTTGGTGTTTACTTTGTGATTAGTCTATTTACTTGACTTCATGCTTGCTCTTCGAATGCAATTATTGCAGGTAATTTAACATAAATGCAAACTTTTCTGGCTAACAAATTAGTTTCATAAGTGGTATGTGTTTGAGAAAGTTGACATTTTAAAGAGTTTTGGATTATAAAAAGCTTATTTAAAGAGAAGAAGAATTGGGATGGTAAATTAAAGAAGAATAATGCTAATTAGAGAATGCCCCATGCACGGATGTAGGCCATTTTGATATGTTGGTTGCGAGTTTTGACTACCAACCAAGAGATATTAGATTCGATGTTTGATTATGTGATGTGTGTGTGAATTTACCATAATTAGCTCAAAAGTCTAAAAAGAAAATAAAAATCAGAGATGAAAGGTTCATGAAAGATTGGTCCAAGATGTTAAACTACTTAAATAAAAGCTTAAATATGTGCCCTTTCTATGAAAACAAAAATTAAATACAAAAAGGGTGGATTAAGATGTGTTTAACATGTATACACACACAGTGCATACACACACACAAGTATACACACACTAACACTACAGAATAAGAATTTTCACAGTGCTTATTTTAGGTTACATATATAATTATATATATATATATCCTAAAATAGTTGTAAGGGTGACGTATTCGCTATCCACTGCAAGTGTATTTCATGGCCGTTTTCCGACCATTAGGGATAAAAAATTACAGTGCTAGTTTTAGCAATAGTTTAAACACAATGAATCTGGAATATTTGTCATGATTTTAGCCGTCAAACATTTGCAAGATTAGTGAAGAATAAAATCACTACTATACGTGCATATTTACAATAGTTAAAAAAAAAAAAAAGCTTACTCAATAAAAAATAGACACAATATATTAGTACTTACACAATATAATAATACTTATGTAGAATGACCTTATACTCACATTCATCATCATCTCCTATTTCATCATTTTTTTCTTCTCTCTCACTTGTTTGTGCACCACTCAAAGCACATTGTTGTTACACCTTACTTATCATGTACGCATGATATCCTTGATCTCCATTAATATGATAGGTTAATATTTGTATTGGTCTCCTCAATTTCTATGAGGTACGAGAGAAAATCATATTAGTTGTCACGACCCGATCCGAGACGAGACGGATCCCGCCCGTCCTCAATTTCTATGAGGTACGAGAGAAAATCATATTAGTCACCCTTAATAAGGCCACTAAAGTTATACTATTGGCCCTTCTTAAGTCCCCTCGGGGTACAATTCATATTTGGTGGCACTATCTATCCCATATTTTAATATCATAATCAAATTCTATTTATCATACATTAAAGGAAATATGTTAATATTAAAGGCCAATTTGTACAATGAGTTATAAAGAATAACTATGGAAAGATTCTTAAATAACAAGCATTAGTTCAAAGGTTAATGTACTTTTGGTTGTCATTCTTCAAATTAGACATCTAAAAAATATTTGTCTTTATTACAACACACTTTAATTAGACATCTAAAGAATGTAGTCGGTGGGCGACGTAATTCAGAAGGACCGTAACGGCGGGCGACGGAGGTCGGAAGGACTGTAGTTGGTGGCCGGGCAACGTAAGTCAGAAAGACCGTAGTCGGCGGGTGACGGAGGTTAGAAGGACTGTATTCGGTGGACGACGTAAGTCAGAAGGACCTTAGTCGGCGGGCGACAGAGGTCGGAAGGACTGTAGTCGGTGGGCGACTGAGGTTGGAAGGACCGTTGCCTGACGACAAAGGACGAAAGGATGACGTCAGGTAGAAATCCAACAATGGACAAAAATCCAGTATTGGATAGATGTCCGATGAAAGTCCGACAATAGGCAGAACTCTGACGTCGGGTAGAAACTTGGCGATGAGCGGAGATCCGGCGTCGGGTAGAAGTCGGGTGGAATTCCGGCATCACTTGGAGGTTGGGCGGAATTTCGGCATCACTTGGAGGTTGGGCGGAATTCCGGCATCACTTAGAGGTCGGGTGGAATTCCGGCGTCACTTGGAAAGTCAGGCGAAATTCCGACGTCATTTGGAAGTCTAGCAGAATTCCGGTGTCTCGTGGAAGTCAGGCAGAATTCCAGCGGTAGTGGTCAAGGAGGAGCTTCTTCCCTCATATCATCCTTCTCTTCTCTTCTACTTCTACTCTTCTTCTTCTTGCTTGTGTCACCTCTCAAGAGAAATGAGGGGCTATTTATAGTTTTTTGAGGATGGCATGACCTGTAAATAGGAGGATCAAGGGAAAATGTGGAGTGGTTCGGATGGACATCCGATATTGAATCCCTTGATCGTGAACCGTTCATTGGACATTTAAAGGTCTTAATGATGTCAAAATTTGGCGATCTTGGGCTCATTAGATTCGTCTCGTTGAGCCACTCGATTCGACTATAAGCATGTTATGTTTAGAAACCTTTTGGTTACCCAAATTGTGGTTCGAACCTTCCAACAGTTCTTCGGGTCCTTGATTTAGGCTCATTTGGACTCGGATTGAGTCAAATTTGGTGTCGTTGGGTTTGTATTTTTGAGACGCTCAGTTCGACTATATGTTTTCTGAAATCGGAGTTCAGATGATCCCATATTTAATTTTTGAAGTTTCCGGCTTGATTTTTCTTCGAGATTCGTGCTCAATCAAGATAATTTTTTGATGATATATGACTTCTACTAAGAGCTTATGGACCTTTTAAAATGATTAGGAAACAAAGACCACATGCACACTTCTCAGAGTTTCCACTTGGCTTGAATTAGACTAGTCTTTAACATTGAGAATCTATTACCTTATGAGAGAATCAAAATATGGAATTTTGGAGACTTTCCATTTTGCATGTGAGCATGTTGTCCATACTCAAATGCCTTCTCTACCAATATTCAATGTGGTGGGTTGTATTATTCCATTTGAAACTCCAGAATATGCTATTAATAAGCAATGATTTCTTATATATATATTGGTTAAAACCCACTGAGGGGCCTACGCGTTAATACTCAAAAAAACGGTTATAAAGTCCTTAGAAGGATCATCTAGCTCCCTACTGCTCAAAAGAGCTACAAGAGAAATCAAAATAAAACCTAAGAGCCGGTGATTCCTTTTTCTAAGATTACAAAAAAAATATAAATAAAAATTCGGGCTACAAGTAGACAGCATCCAAAAAAGGAAGATGCTACACCACTAGCTCCAACTTCATCTTCACTCATTACCAAATTTCAAAGTAGACTTAACCATAATAACATGTGTTATTGGAATGTGTTTTATCATATTTTCAAGCGGTTTCCCATGCATGCTGTATGTTATTATATCTTTAATAATTTGTACATATATAAACTAATTCAATGGCAGAGACCATTTCATTCGATATAAATCATAATTCATAAATACACGTTTAGAAATTCTATTGTCAAATTTAGGCAATGCATCTACTACTCATGCCCGTGTAAGTAACGCAAACGTACGCAATATAATAAACAGAGAAATTACTTTTTGATATTTTTGGTTCAACGCTGTGTAAAAACTTATAAATTTTCAGCTTCTTCCTCAACCAAGCAGAGTTAGAGAGAGAGAGGTAAATTAAAAATTCCATCCATTATAAAAGCTCAATTAATATCCTCCTTAATCTGCAATATCCAGTTATCAATAATTTCTCTTAATTTCTCTCTCTGCATTTCCTTTCCTTCCTCTCTTCTTTTAAAGATTCACAACTATGATTTCTGCGGACACAATGCGCACTGTCGTCGGAATAGTCGGCAATGTCATCGCTTTAGGACTCTTCTTCTCTCCATTGTAAGTCATGGCATCTCATAATTTCTCAAAATTGGACCTAGTCCTTTCTTTTATATTATCAAGAAAAAAAATACTCTCTTAGTTTTTAATTATTATTAGAATATTTTTTTCTATTTTATATGACTATTATTGAATTTTACTTGTGTTTTGGGATTAGGCCGACATTTATTAGGATATGGAAGAAAAAATCAGTGGAGGAGTTCTCAGTTATACCTTATGTAGCGACACTTCTAAATTGCATGTTGTGGATGTTGTATGGGCTACCCATTGTGCACCCAAATAGTACCCTAGTTCTTACCATAAATTGTGCTGGGACTGCCATAGAGATTTGCTATGTCATCCTCTACCTAATCTTCTCTGACGGGCCAAAGCGACTCAAGGCCCTATTGCTCTTCTTTGGTGACTTGGCATTTGTCGCTGTTGTCGCTATTATCGTGCTCATCTTCTTCCACACACATGATCGTCGCTCTCTTATTGTTGGTATCCTATGTGTTATCTTCTGCATCATAATGTATCTCGCTCCTCTCTCCGTCATGGTATGTAGATCAAGCTATAGACACACATAAATATTAATTGCATGGACATGTATGCATTTTTACTGATCTTTCAGTTTTATTTTCTCTGGTACAGAAAATGGTGATACAAACGAAGAGCGTGGAATACATGCCTCTCTCTATATCGGTTGCATCATTTCTTAATGGGCTTTGTTGGACCATCTATGCTCTTATCCGCTTTGATCTATACATTACAGTAATTAAAACCTCTCTCTTTTCTTTCATGATTAAAATACTAATTTATTAGACAATATTGAATAATTTGAGAATGCTAGTTAACTAATTTTTATAATGACTTTAATTTTTTGTTGCAGATTCCCAATGGTCTTGGCCTATTATTTTCCATAACTCAATTAATATTGCATGCATTATACTACAAGTCGACCCGGAGACAAATTGCTGAGAGAAAATTAAAGGGTGAAGTGGGGCTCACTGATGTTGTCATCGATGATAGCACGAAGGAGTCGTCTATTATATCTTCTCAAAAAAATGAAGCAACAACAAATAATGAATAAATATAAAAGTGTTTTGGTGTGAGACTTTTTTCTTTTTCATTTCAACATATTAAGTGAGATGGGAAGTTATTGGATTGTGAAGAGTGTTACTCCCATTAAAACAAAGAATTATTTGTATTTTTTTTCAAGCTAATTCTAAATTATTATTATTTTTTTCATTGTTTTGCTTTTTTTTTTCTTTGAATATGGCATAGTTGTTCATAACCTACTTTTTATTTTCTTATGAAAGAACAAATATCAACTATTATTAAATTGAGCAAATTTTCTTTTCTTAAGAAAAAATATCTTAAATATTTTATTAGTTAAAATTGTGACACATGAAATGATGCAAAGAATAGAACATGATTAATAAAGAACTGAAAAGTATGCATGAGATAAGAATTACTTCTTCAACATGATTTGAACTTATGTGTAGGAATCATAATTCCCCATATTATGTAACTTGAATTTCACCTCTAACCAAATATTTATAACTTAGGGTCCGAGCTTGGGGCACATATGGGTGTAGAATAAGGATAAGGATAAGGAGTTGTATAGCCTCTCGAGCTGGGTTATTACATGTGAACCGAGTCGATTTTCATTTTGGTCATTCGGGTGGATGTTTGACTATACATTTAGTTTCCTATTTCTCTAATGTTATTGGAATGATATTGCAAAAAGAATAAGGGAATAAAATAATAAGTAAAGTATTGATTAAAATATTTTCTTACATGCTTATTTACTAATATACCTCCAACAATCAAATTATTTTTTTCTTTTGACAATATCTTTTTGTGCATGTCATCAGTTTAGCGATCTAAAAAAATATAAGGCTAGAATTAATATGTGAATGCTCGTTCTCACCTTTGATAACCCAGTAATTTTCTCTTGCAAATTAGAATAGGAACCCTAAATAACAAGATTAACATTTCAAATGATGATCTTATAATTCACATTTTGAGGAAGCTGAAGAGGGAGTACGGTCATTCTTAAGAAAAGAGGACAGAGAAGAAAGTAAGAATTGATGATTTTAAGATCAAGGAGGTGGACTTAGGATAATCTTATTTTGGCAAGTCCTCCAATTATTGAGCTTTCCTTTTCCCCAATCATGATAATTAACTAATTAATCAACTCTCTTATGATCGTTCTTTGTATGTTGAACAAATTATTGAGAAGATAAATGCAAATAACATTCAAGTAATTCTTAGATAAGTTTTAAATAAAAATTTGTTATATTATGATGCAATTCACTATTTAACTATGATGCCCTCAATGAGGAAATACATATTAAAGGGTGCTTGCTAAAAGATTGATGTGGAGCTCAAGGAGAAAGATGTTGATGATGGCTTAGGAGATATAAAGGTTGGCTAAGGAGAGATAAATATCATGTGATTTAATATTGAAGAATCTGTCACTGAACTTGACCAACCCTATATAGAGTAACCAGATATTGAGAAGCCAAGGACTAAATTGAGGGAAGAGGCATTTGAGTACTAAGGCTGGCCAAGAGACTATTGAAAGTATTACTTCTTCTACTTCCTTTGAAATATATTTTATTTTTATCTATCAAGAATTCTTTCTTTTAATCTTTTAATATACCAACACCAAAGCTATCTATTTTCTTTTATCAATAACAATCTCAGCGGAGTCAAATCTAATAATCAAAACACCAATATCAATCTCTCATTCATTGCTCCAAAAATCATATATAATACTCATGAATCACATTTATACATTTTATCCTTCCTTTCGCGAGTGCTAAAGAATAACTATAAGGTGAAAGAAATAAAATAATAGTAACATGAAGAATCCTGGTCAGCCTTGCACCATGATCCTCTATCTTGATCTAAAATCATTTGAACCATATATAATGAGCTAAATAACCCAGCAGGTCACTAAATCCTACAACTGAACTCAAAGTACGATAAAAAAGCATTATGCATATCATTAATTAATTCATAATAGTAGCAGTCACTATGATCATGAATCTGTGTAGAAACAGAAAAACTTATATGTAGTAGTAGTAAGATATGTGAAATAGTAGAACAGTACAATACAAAAGCCAATAAATTAAGACGTGTGTTGAATCAATAAAGCATTCATCATAGCAATACTATTTAATCAGTAAGAAAATCATATAAATCGGAAAAACCAAAGCCTCAATGAAGACCATCAAAATTATATCAAGACAATAAAATTATATAATAGTCTACACATGCTATCCGACTATTTTATATTAACATCCAATCAATATCATAATCACATGTTCAGCATATGACATAATCAGTAACAGTGAATTAGTAAACAATAATCATATCAATGAGTCGGTATCATATTAGTGAAACAGTAACAGTATCATCAATAATGTTAACAGTGACAGTAGAGCAATACAATAATGATAATATTATATTCATAACGTAACAATAAATCAATGATATAATAATAAGGTTGTATATTAACAATGAATTAGTAACATGCATTCTAGTAAACACACTAAATAAGTAAGGAGTTCTGGATTGCACGATATTTTTCTAGTAATTAGCAATTAGTAAGTTAGTAATCGTTGACTCAGTAAATAGATCGAGTCGTCACACTTTGTCCGTCGGCACAGTAATAACACCTTATAACTATAATCAGTGAATAACGTGAAACAATAGAGGATAACATCAAACCAAAGCATTTAAAAAAAAGCCCATCGACCCATCATTCTGTATATTTCAGTCAGTCTTTTGCTAATATCAGTAATTCACCAACCTTTACTTATTTTCAAACATTATTATTATCACATTATTATAACATTAATAATAATTAGGTATTACCTACGCGCAAATCCATTTTCATTTATAATGCTTGTATTAACAATATGCTTTGTTAAAAATACTGAATTTTTTATTTAGTACTAATCATACAAAATATAATAACTTTTATTTTACCCAATGAAATTAAAAAAATGATTCAATCAAAATGTCTTGAATAATCAATACTGTGATAAAATTATGTGGTAAAAGTTCAATAAACACAAAAAAAAATCAATTTTGGGGAGAATCAATCAGTCAAAACAAAAAATCTTTGAAAATAAAAATATGGAATAAGTCACCTACCTCGTTCTAAGAAATTCTCGTAAAAGTGGCAAAGCGATCCAACAACCAAAAATCAAAATTTCTCTTTTCTCTCTTCTCCTTTCCTCCATTTTCTTTTGGTTCTTTCTCATGCTAGCCTGCGCTAGCAACGATGAGGGAGGTGAGAGAGTAGTGAGCAGAGAAAAATATACATATAAATATATCTTAATGGTAAAACACAGCACCGTAGTGCCACCACACAATGTCGCAGCGCTACTTGTTGAACCCAAAATTATTATATATAGAACATATTCTTCATGCTGTGGAGGTGATTTTTGGCGCCACTGCACCCGAAAGCCTAGTGTCGCAGTGCTTAGTTTAAACAGAAATTCATATTTGCATTAAATAATCATTTTTAGAAATTACATGCTGTCACACCTTGCCTTGAGTAGTACAACTGATGTTTTATAGTTTTTAGCATCTCCAAGAAATATCATTGAGATGACAGTTTGCTAGGAAAGTCACTAACTTGCCCCTTTTCGGAAGAATCCCAAGATATTCACAACTTGACTTCGAATTCGCTGAAGGAACTACTTGAAGTTTCCCTCCTCAAGATGCTTAAGGAGTTAACTTTTGAAGTTAGCTCTATGGAGTCACATTTATGAATTTCATAGATGAATATGAAATTGATAAAGGCAACTTCTTCAATAGCTGGTTGAGACTAGAAAAGCCACTACGGCTCTCCATCAAGAAATCACTTCAAGAAGGAGGTGTTTGGAGTAGGGGTGTCAATTCGGGTCAACGGGTCGGGTTCTGGTCGAACTCGGAACTGACCCGGCACTGTTCGGGTCAACCCGACCCGACACGAATGACCCGAAGTTGAACTAAAATTGCTTATTTTCGGGTCAAAATAGGGTCAATCTTCGATTTTCAGGTCAAAATCGGGTCAATCTCGGGTTTCCAAGTCAAATAGGAGTTTTTGTGTCAATTTTGGGTCATTTTCGGATTGCTGGGTCAACCTAAACCTGACCCGATTTTTAAAACGAGTTGATTTGTTGAACACGAACCCGACCCGTTTCGGATCTGGGTTGACCCTAACCTGATTTTTTCGGATCGGATTCGGGTCGTGTCGAAAATTGACACCCCTAGTTTGGAGTCTGCTAGATCAAGCCAATTCTTATCAAGTACTGAGTTTCTATTTAGAAAACTTATTGATAGCGGGAAGACTCCTCGTGAAGTGTCCTCAGATTCTGCTTTACAATTTTTCCTTATTTCTTTTCTCTTAAGTGAAGAGTCTATCACTAGTCGCTCAATACAATTTAATAAGTACATCGTCACAACTAATTGTTGTGGTAATAAATATAAATTGTCCTTCACAATTGCCATTTTTTGAAAACATTTCAAGTGTCAATATACTTGTTTAAAAAATATAAAATCAATCATTCAAAAACTAAAAGAAAATGAATTTAAAATTCAAATTTTAAGAATTTAAAAGATGGGTATTTAATACTGATAGGACCTGCTTCATATCCCGAGCCTTTCTTTGGTTACAATTTGAATTGAAGACCCTTTGGATCTTCTTTATGCTTCTATGGTCTCTTCACGATTAATTTTTCAGTGCGGAGGCCGAACGCCATCTAGAGATCACCCGAATGTGCAACGTTACCCCTTACTCGTACTGCGGCTCCGTACTGTTTACATGGTGCATTCTGGTTGATCTCTTGATGGCGTTCCACTCTATAAAGTGTATGAGTATGTCCTAACGCCATTATGAAGGATGAGATATGATGTTATTTAGACCAATTCCATCTCGACATGTGCTTTCCACTCTATAAAGATTAGACTGGCATAATGACTTTCATTGGAGTTATCCCAATACAAATAATGCATGGCTTATTTGTGAGCATCATGCACTAGTAATTTACATGAGAAAAAAGAGACACTTCTGGTCTATCTTATTATTCTCTCTCTTTTTCTCCATTAAAGCCTTTTAGGGCAAATTTGTTTCATTGTCCTTCAATTACATGACAACGAAAGAATTGGAGAACAAGATAAAGAGGTGGAAGGATGAATATTAGTTCATAAAAGATGGTTGATAAGTAGCCAGTTTTAATCAAGTTGATGACATTCTTGAAAGATAATGTACATACTCCTAATCATTTTATATTTAATATTATACTGCTCATTTCAATTAAAATAACATATGAAAACATAATCAATGAAATTTTGTCATGAACCAATTAAAATATTTAGGGTGACGATATCTATGATATATAAAAATTTACAAAGTTCATCTAATAAAGCCTGCATCTTGTTCCGTTCTCCTCGTGCTCCAAGTTTCATGTACCCTATCACACTAGTTAGAGCTGGTCATTCTTAGGTTTAGGCCCCAATATTGAAATTTACATATCACCTCTTTCCACTACCTTCTATAATAAGAGGGAAATTATTAGGTTCAGACACCGGACGACATCTGGAGCCCAATAAAAATACATCACATCACCCCCTACTCTGTACTGAGCTCTGTATGAGCTCGGTACTCCACAATACTGAGTTCGGTACTGGTCAGTACAGAACTCAGTACTGCTCGGTACTATGGAGTACCGAGTTTAGTATTACTCGGTACTCTGAAGTACCAAACGATAACCTGTTTCCGATGTCCGAACCCAATAATCTCTCATAAGATGTGTGTCTCTTCTCATTCTACCTTTGATGGGTCCTTCATCCAATAGGCCTTTATTTAGCCATCATTAGTCAAGGCTATGAGGAGAGGCTAGTCTTGTATATAAAAACCCTAAGACTCATATAGGTACCCTTAAAACCCTTAGACATGGGCCATAGTGCTCCCTTTAGGAAGTCAAAATGACAATTGATAAATATTATATATACCATTTGCACACATCAACATCCGCAAGCCTAGTTGTGACCATATTAAATAGATATCATTTTATTTTATTGTCATCACATTATAGATTGATAGCAGTTATTTTGTCAAATGATTTCAATATATTTAGTAACTTCTTATGCTTGTCATACTTTTCATCATGATTTAGTAAATATACATTTTTATGATAATATATTATATTTTAAAATCGTGAAAAAAAAAAATCAAACTTGTCCTTAATCTATTCAGCCAAAATTCCTTTTGATTAGATATTATGGGGAATAAGGTAACAAGAAGTCAATTTCTAAAGCTGAAATTTTTGGAGATTTATTATTATTATTAAAAGTAATAATAATAAATCAAGTAAAGAGATATTTTTATTCAAGAATTTTAAATTTAAAAGAAAATAACAAATCATGTGAAGACTATTAATTATTTATTAATTTACTAATGGTCCTTAGATTTTAGAGTATAACTACAAAGCGGGCCATGCATGATGTTGTTATTATTTATTTAATAGTTTGTACATACATAAACTAATTCAATGGCAATATACCTACATTTTGAAAATCTCTTAGTCTCATGGCCGTGTGAGTAACGAAAATTTGCAATATAATAAATCAAAAAAAGCTCAACGAGAGTCAATAAAGAGGGAAATTATTTTTTATAATTTTGGTTCTACGCAAAGTAAAAATTATAAAATTCTAGCTTCCTTCCCAACCACACATACTTAGAGAGAGAAAGAGATTAAAAATTCCATCATTATAAAAGCTCAATTAATCCTCTTTAGGATTCACTATCAAACGATAAATAATTTCTCTCTCTCAACTATTGCTTTCATTCTTCTCCTCTCTAAAATCTGTGGGCATGGTTTCTGCTGACACATTGCGCACCGTCGTTGGCATAATCGGCAATGTCATCGCTCTAGGACTCTTCTTCTCCCCATTGTAAGCTATAGCATCTCATAATGTTCAAAAATTGAACCTAGAAATTCGAGATAAATAAAGTCCTTTCGTTTTATTTATTAAGAAAATACTCTCTTTATTATTATTATTATCATATTTTTCATTTTATAAGAACATTATTGACTTTTACTTCTCTTTTGTGTTTAGGCCGACATTTATTAGGATATGGAAGAAAAAATCAGTTGAGGAGTTTTCAGTTATACCTTATGTAGCAACACTTCTAAATTGCATGTTGTGGATGTTATATGGGCTACCCATTGTGCACCCAAACAGTACCCTAGTTCTCACCATAAATTGCGCTGGGACTGCCATAGAGATTTGCTACGTCATCCTCTACCTAGTCTTTTCTAACGGGCCGAAGCGAGTCAAGGCCCTATTGCTCTTCCTTGGTGACTTGGCATTCGTCGCTGTGGTCGCTATTATTGTGCTCATCTTCTTCCACACACATGATCGTCGCTCTCTTATTGTTGGTATCCTATGTGTTATATTCTGCATTATAATGTATCTCGCTCCTCTCTCCGTCATGGTATGTAAATCAACTTGTGCACATATATAAATATTAATTGCATGGGCATGCATGCAATTTTAGTGATGTCGTGGTGTTACTTTGTGTGGTGCAGAAAATGGTGATACAAACGAAGAGCGTGGAGTACATGCCTCTCTCCTTATCAGTTGCATCATTTCTTAATGGACTTTGTTGGACCATTTATGCTCTTATCCGTTTTGATCTATACATTACGGTAATTAAAATCTCTCTCTCTTTACTTTCTTCATTAAAACACTAATTTATCATAAGATGTTGAATAATTTGAGAAAGCTATTTAATTTTTTTTTTGTAACTTTAATTTTTTGTTGCAGATTCCCAATGGCCTTGGCCTATTATTTTCCATGACTCAATTAGTATTGCATGCATTATACTATAAGTCAACCAAGAGACAAATAGCTGAGAGAAAGTTGAAGGGAGAAGTGGGGCTCACTGATGTTGTCATTGATGATAGCGTAAAGGAGTTGTCTATCATATCTTCGCATAAAACTGAAGTGCCATCAATTAGTGAATAAATAAGAGAGATTTTTGCAGTGAGGTTTTTATTTTTCTTTTTTTAACATATTAATTTAGGTGTGAAGTTATTTGATTGTGAAGGGCATGTTAATCCCATTAAAACAAAAAGTACATATTTGTATTTTTTTTATTTAATTCTTAATTATTATCTTTTTTTCAATGTTTTTAGTTTAAATTTGGATATGGCATAGTTGTTTGTACATTGGATTTTATTTGCTCGGTAAAGAATTTATGTGTTACAGCAAAAAAACTTTCAAATATCACACCCAAACTTTATTAAAGATATTGTGTGAATAGAATAGAGATAGGGCAAGAAAAATTTCTATTGGAGCTTCAATCTTCTCTAAATGTGCATGCTTTAATTTCCTAGATTGCTTGCTTAATCTAAACTCTTGTAGCATCTTAAGATTAAATTTTAAAAGAATCATTTATTTTAATCTCTTAATTAATCAATAAGAACTTTTATGAATTCATCAACATAAATCAATCTAGCGGAAGAAACTAAAATCATATGCATCAAAATATAAAATTATATTCATCTCTCAAGATTTATGTATGTATAATAGTCAAGCATTCAATCCATGTATTCTTCAGTCTATCTTTTAACTCATAAGTGAATAAAATTAAATAAAATATATAAATAAAATAAAACTTTGATCCTTAATCTTTCCTCACTCTAATGAATCTTGGCCCCTTACTAAAAACATATAAAATCACTAAGTAAGCTAACAACTCAGTATGTTATTAGAACTTACAACTGAAATCATTGCAAGATATTAGAAACATTATGCATATAACATTCAGTCCACATAAGTAAATCCAACAAAAGTAACTAAAAATTATATACATCAAAATATAAAATTATATTAATCCCTCAAATTTTATATATAATAGTCAAGAGTCTAATTCATGCATTTATCAGTGTATCTTTCAGCTCCTGACTATAAAAAAATAAAATAAAATAAAATATGGATCTCTGATTTGTCCTCACAGCACTAAAACTTGACCCATTCCTAAAAATATATAAAATCATAATGGGCTAACATCTCAGTAGATTACTAGAACTTATAATTGAAATCAATGCAAGATACTAGAAATAATATGTATACAATCATTCGGTAAATATAAGTAAGAATATGAAATTATAAAGGCATATATATAACTAATCATGAGATAGGTCAATTCAGTGAATGATTAGTAAATAGTCAGTAATAACGAGGGCTTTAAAAAATTGGGCCGTGGACCGTACCAAGTCCAACCCTGCTCAACCAATGAAAACTTGTCTATAAGCAAATCCGGTTCGATCCTGAAGATGCGGTTGTGTATAAACCGGCCAAGAAACGTGAAAGAATCGTATTGCGAACGAGGTTGAACACAATACTGATGCCTTTTCGTAAAATCGGCTGGTTAAGGATTTTTTATTTAAATAATTAAAAAATTTAATATTAAATAAATATTAAACTTATTAATTAATATAAATATTATATTTTAACATCTTAAATAAGTATTAAACATATATGATTAAATATTACTTCAGCATTCTCAATGCTCATTACTGCCATAATGACTCTATCATGAGTAAAAGCAAAAAGCTATATAACCTATACAAAATGCAAAACAACAGTACAAAAGTTGGTTCTTTACTTTGCAGTATACATTTACAACACAGTCTTTTTTTAAAATTTTATTAATTAATGTTTTAATAAATATGAATAATATTGTATTTTGGAGTTGAGTAATGATTTATTTTGTTTAGTTGATAATATTAATTTCAATATGTTTATTTTAATAAATTTATTATATAGTGT